GCCTGGTGTTCTGTGATTCATGGGGTTGCAAAGAGTTAGACATGACTGAGCTACTGAACTGAACTGAAAGCTGGTACTTGTGTTCAGTACCCGCCCTGAGATCCAAGCAGGGACCACGGCTTGTGCATAACAGTCTTGCTTCTCAGAGTGCAGTCAGCAACAGCAGCTGCTGGGTATGCGGACGAAATGCAGAAGGGCAAGTTCACCTTACCCTTTATGAACCAGAATCTGTATTTGAACAGGAGATTGTACACACATTTGTGCTTAAGAAGCACTGAGTCAGAGGACCCATTCTGGCTTTTCTTTGGACATCACTCTTTCTAAGGGACATGGCCAAGGCGAATTGGCTTCCTTTTTGAACAGGCTTCATATACTCAGGTTCCCAGAATCCTTTGTCCAAAGGCCCAGTCTACTCACTTCTAGAGTACTCAGCGAGTCTTCACCAGATACATCCTCCCCTGCATCCAGGACTGAGCAGGTGGTCAAGGGATCACTGTGACAACGTGGGAGGGGGTGGGTGTGGCTTCCAGGCTGAATGTCCATGTAAGGCCTCGTAGGAGCAGAAAATAGTCATGGGTAGGGGGGTGGATCCAGGGTCTCTAATTATACTTTAGCTCCTGGTCCCTTAGACAGGGTTGAGGCTACTTCTGTTCATTTATATCTGATATACCCTTCTAGTGGGGTCCAAGCAATGGGCAAGGTGAGGCTATAAAAGAATATATGACTTTTACAAAAATTTTAAATATTTGATATGAAATGTTAGGTTGGATTCCAGAATCATTTGCCTTATTCTAAGAAATGTCAACATTACAGTTGTCAGTGAAAGAATGTAATAGCTGTCATATTCTTTAGGTGTAATTTTAATCCCAGGAAACTTCTAAATGGCTATAAAAATCAGTTTTAAACTTTCTATCATCTCCTTGTTCTTACAAAGCGTCCCACAAAGAGCAACTATCAAGACTTTGGAGAGACAACTGATTTAAAATTATCAACACAAGTCATAAAGTCTAACATGGTATCTTATAAGGAAAAGTTATCTGTGAATTTATGGTTTTCATTAAAATGTTTGACAATATTTCATTTGGAAATTCAATACTTATTCTTACTTCCAATACTTTTTATTTTCTATTCTTCTCTTTAAAATTTAGTTTTCTGAAATATAGTTGATTTATAAGATGTTAATTTCTGCTGTATAGCAAACTGATTCAGTTATACATATATATACATTCTTTTTCATATTCTTTTCTACTATGGTTTATCACAGGATTTTGAATATAGTTCCCTGTGGCATACAGTAGGACCTTATTGTTTATCTATTCTTTATATGATAGTTTGCATCCACTAACCCCAAATTCCCATTCCATCCCTCCCCCTGACCTTGACACCAATAAGTATGTTCTCTATGCCCTTGAGTCTGTTTCTGTTTCATTAATTTCTCTTCACTTAACACCAAGTATATGTATTGAATTTTTTTCACCAAAATCCATACGGATGTCCTCAAATCCTAACTAATTTACCCATGTACCTATCATACAAATATCGTATCAGCATAATTAAGTGAAAAAAGGTGAGAAGCATGTATACTCAGCTAGACAAAAGCAAAAAGACCCAAAACAGGCAGACTGGAGAAGGATACTCCTTTCCTGCACATATAGTGTCTCTGGGTCCCAAATGTTTATCATTTCTGACTTTTATTAAAAGTTGATCATTTTATAAAGTGGATTTCCTTCCTTTGCAAAATTTTTCAAAGATTTTTCCCCCTCAACAGATCAGCTTCAAACTTTTAAAAACACTTTCCTAACATACAATTATCATCTTCCAAAGATCCTAAAGTACTGTCAATGTGACTGAAATCAGAATGTAAATATTTTATAAACAGCTGTCAAATCTCAATCAGCAGAAAACAAAAAGCCCCCGAATTGCTGTAATCTAACCACAAGGCTACATCATTTAATTGACGGATAAGACATTTTTCGAGCTTCTCTTTTCCCATCAGCATTTTAACACATTTGCATAGTGTGGCATCCTGGATTGTCCCTGTGACAATCGACCGGAAGATGGGATAACTGAAGCTCTCTAAGGGAGAAGCCTAGCACAGTAATTGAACTCAGTTTCATGGAACATTTTTCACACTCACTGTATTTGGAATTTCAGTTACTAACAGGGACTAAATATTGGCATCGAGGGAATATTATCATGGCTATTAAAAAAAGCAAACTTTTGCTTTTAGCAGTTCAATAATTTATTATTTTATTCTTCTGGGCCTTCATTCAACAAAGATTTCTGATCATCTATGTGCCAGGCTTAAATAATAAATCTATGCAAGATCCGAAGGACTGGGCTCCTTCACCCATTACAACTGATAAGAAATGCCACTAGCGGGCTTCTCTGGGGGCTCAGTGGTAAAGAATCCGCCTGCCAATGCAGGGGATTCGGGGTTTGATCCCTGATCCTGGAAGATCGCACAGGCCCTGGAGCAACTAAGCCCGTGGCCACAGACACTGAGCCTGCGCTGTGCAGCATGGGAACCACAGCCAGGAAGCCCACACGCCCCAACGCAGGAGAAGACCACGCGCCGCAACGAGAGGAGCCCCACTCGCCAGAGCTAGAGAGAAGCCCACACAGCAATGAAGGCCCAGCAGAGGCAAAGTAAACAAATAAAGAAAATTATTAAAAAAAAAAAGCAAAAGAAACGTCACTAGTGAAGATACCACAAGTGGTCCCTCCAAACGATTCACTGCTATTTTCTGTGTGCAATGCTATCTGTCCCCTTTCCCAGAATTTGTTTTTTCATCTTTTCCTCTACTTTCCTCTCTTCACCCCACCCTCCGTCTAAAGCAATAAGCCTGTCGGGGATATCTATAAGCACTGTTTAATTTTTTTTTTTTTGAGACATTTTACCTAAAGCATTTTCTGACTCTATACTCATTCATTCAATAAATATTTACTAAGTTTCTTGCAGGGAACAGGCATCTTTAGAGGTACTGGAGTTCACACAGTGAGGAAGAGACTAGGGAATCCCTAGTCTTAGACTAGGAGCTTAGACCATAAAACAAACCATAAACACACGTGAGAATTCTTCATGTCTTGCCTAAATCCCTCAAGCTACACAAATAAGTATTTTTTCCATATGGGAATATTTTAATGTGCCTTGAAAATAAAACTTCTAGTTTTTAAAAGGCATTAAATTTGGGTAGCTAGAACAGTGCTCATTTACAGAGAGTAGTTAGTTGGATTCTTGTGGTGGCTTGGGGGTAAAGAATCCACCTGCAATGCAGGAGATGAGGCAAGAGCCTAGGGTTGAATCCCTGGGTCAGGAAGATCTCATGGAGAAGGAAATAGCAACCCACTTTAGTATTCTTGCATGGGAAATCTCATGGGTAGAGGAGCCTGGTGGATCCCAGTCCCTGTGGTTGCAAAGAGTCCTACATGGCTGAGCATGCACAAGCACACAAAACAACAAGCTCTAATCCAGGTTCCCCTAGACACTAGTCTTGCACACAGAATGGATTTTGGTGTGGGAAGAATAGAAGCAAGGAAACCATCAGGAAGATTACACAGCTGTCCTGGTAAGGCTGAATGATAATCAGGATGGTCACAGAATAAAAAGAAATTAAGAGTTTCAGGATGTATTTAAAGTAAAGAACAGGAAAAGGAAAATAACTGATAACTCTTTAGTTCAATGGCCATAAAGAAAAAAGTTGACTTTAGTAGACATAGCACTTCCCTGCATTGGCAACGGACATCCAAAAGGCAAGTCATTATTTTATATTAAGAGAGTACCAGTACACCCTCCATTTACAAATAAAGAGCAAAGGTCCAGAGAGGTGAAATAGCTTTTTTAAGCCTTCAAGAGCTGCTGTCACCTGCATTTCCCATTTCCTATTTTCCAGCCCAGGGACTTTTCCATTAACCAGCACCTCCTTCCCCCGACTCAGCTCAGTACCTTATTCAATATCTTGCATGACTTTCTTTGGAAAGGAATTTCATTATATAATTTATCTTTAACCTGTATTTTTTTCTGAGCCTAATGAGTGGAAAGTATTTAATATCAGGACTATAGTTTAAAAGCTTAGTTTTGGGTGCCATACTAGCACCATTACTCCTAAACCTTTATTTTAAAGAACAAAAAGCAAAAGAAAGAAACTTGGAATTAGTATTTCTTTTATTTGCTTTCATAAGCAATTTCAATTCCTCCTGAGTCCCCCAAACCATATCGTTTCTATATATGGAATAGCCTCGGTTCATTTTGTTTTATAAATGGATAATTTAGTAGAATGTCTGTGTTACTAAAGAACATTCAAAGGATTAGTGTACTAACAATCTCACAGCAATAGTACAGGCTCCTGGCCTCATAATGTGAGGACCAGCATTAAGGTACAAAAGTACAGGGAAGGGCATCTGACATGTCCAAGATCAAACCTTGCCTTTGACATTATCATAGGATAAAGTTCTTAACATCTCAAAGCATCAGTTTCCTCATTTGTAAAATAGGGATCATAATACTTAACCCTGATGGCACTATTTGTGAAGACTAAATAAGGTATAGAAATACATCCAGCATCATGACCAGATATGAATACTAGAACCAGCTAATTCTCCATTTAGATTTGAGTATCACAAGACCTAACAACCTTGTTGAAGTGCAATATTTGTCTCCTGCTTTAAGAAATCTAATGGCATTTTTAAAACCCTTATGCTACTACAGTTAAGATACAAACAAGCTTTTGAAATAAAATCAACTTATCTCATATTTCAACAAATGCCTTCATTGTAATTTTGAATCTGATGAGCAAACAAGTTAAAAAAAAAGCATCTTTATTAAGATACACAAAATTAAGCATGACTGTATATTTACATTAAGATGTGTACAGTAATGATTATGAATCATATTAAAAAGCACCAAACAGATATTCCTATTCCTCCTTAATCTCTTCTCATAAATCAAGCCATAAGGCCTCCTTTTAAAGCAAAGAATTCAACTCATGAAAGGATCTTACCTTATAGTACCTTAGTGGAAGTTCTGAATGTCATTTATTTCACCTCTAATTAGAACACAGGTGCTAGAAGAGAATAAGAAAATGGAGCTTACACAAAGCTAGGATTGTGGAAAAGGGAAACTCAACTATTATACACAATGATTTGAATAAATATAAGAAAATTACAAAATTTTATAGAAAGAGATTTCATATATCATGATGCAGGTGGTCAGAGAGTTAAGGAACCTGTTATTGACAAAGAAAACAAACCTATTGACTTTGGATAAAAGGCTCTTTCTATAGTTTCACGTCTCATACCTGCCAAAGCTCCAGACACAAAGAAAGGCATCAAGTAAGAAGGAAACAAAAGGAGTTGCTTATCCCTTATTTTAGCGATGGTGTTAGCGATGGTGTCTTACTTTTTCAGTGAATGAGTCAGCACTGCCTACTTAGAAGTTCTAGTCCATTATCTTCTTCCAGACACTATTTGGAGAATACACATACTATTATCTTATGACTAGCTAAATTCTAACACAGAGATAGAGCCAAATCTTTATAAACTGAACTATAATTGACATACAATATCCTACTAGTTTCAAGTGTACAACAGTGATTCGCTATTTGTACACATTATGAAATGATCACTGCCATTAAGTCTACATACCATTTGTATGTATCATACATTTGTAATGGTACCTAGAATTGATGCTTTCGAACTGTGGTGCTGGAGAAGACTCTTGAGAGTCCCTTGTACAGCAATGAGATCCAACCAGTTCATCCTAAAGGAAATCAGTCCTGAATATTCATTGGAAGGACTGATGCTGAAGCTGAAACTCCAATACTTTGGCCACCTGATGCGAAGAATTGACTCACTGGAAAAGCCCCTGATGCTGGGAAAGATTGAAGGCAGGAGGAGAAGGGGATAGAGAATGAGATGGTTGGATGGCATCACTGACTCAATGGACACGAGTTTGCAAAAACTCCAGGAGTTGGTGATGGACAGGGAGGCCTGGCATGCTGCAGTCTATGGGGTCGCAAAAAGTCTGACAGGACTGAGTGACTGAACTGAACTGAAATGAACCATCTGTCATGGTACAAAGTTGTTACAATATTATTGGTTGTATTTCCTATGCTGAACATTGTGACTTATTATTTTACAATTGGAATTTTTAACCTCTTAATCTCTTTCACTTATTTCATCTGTTTTCCCATCTCTCTCCCCTTTTATAGCCATCAATTTGTCTTCTGTATCTATGAGTCTATTTTATTTTGTCCATTTACTTCCTTTTTATACTCCCCATATAAGTGAACTCATATGGTATTTATTTTATTCTCTCTGGCTTATTTCCCTGATAATATCCTCTAGGTCTACACATGTTGTTACAAATGACAAGACTTCATTCCTTTTTATGGCTGAGTAACATTCCAGAATACTGCATCTTCTTTATTTACTCTTTTATCAGTATACACTTCAATTGCATCTATATCTTGGCTATTGCAAATAATAGGGGTGCACATATCTTTTAAATGAGCATAGGGGTGCATATATCTTTTAAAATCAGTGTTTTCGTTTTCTCTGGATAAATATCCAGAAGTGCAATTGCTGGATCATATGGTAGTTCTGCTTTTAATTTTTTGAGGACCCTCTGTATTGTTTTCCATAGTGGCTGCAATTTATATTCCAAGTGACCGTGTACTAGGGTTCCTTTTTCTACTCATTCTTGCCAATGCTTGTTATTTCTTGCCTTTTTGATAACAGCTATTCTGACAGGCATCAGATCGTCTCTTAGCTTTTTTTTTTTAATGTGGACTATTTATTTACTCTTGACTGCACTGGGTCTTTGATGCTGCGTGTGGGCTCTCTCCAGTCGTGGTGAGTGGGAGCTCCTCTCTAGGACAGTACCCACACAGTGGCTTCTCCTGTTGCAGAACACAGGCTCTAGAGTGCACAGGCTTCCATAGTTGTGGCGCATGGCCTCAGAGGATGCAGCTTGCAGGCTCCAGAGCATCGGCTCAGTAGTCGTGGCACACAGACTTTGTTGTCCCGTGGCATGTGGGGTCTTCTCAGACCAGGGACTGAACTGGTGGCCTCTGCATTGCAAGGTAGATTCTTAACCACTGGACCAACAGGGAAGTGCCTTGCTGTAGTTTTGATTTGAATATTTACCTGATAACTAGTCATGCTGAGCATCTTTTCATGTGCCAGGTGGCTACCTGTATATCTGTGGGAAAATGTCTCTTCAGGTCTTCTGCCCATTTCCTAATCAGATTACATTTTTTTTTTTTTTTGGACATTTAATGGCATGAGTTTTTAAAACATATTTTGGATTTCAGTCCCTTATCAGATATATTGTTTGCAAATATCTTGGGATACAATCAAATCTGAAAGAAAATCCCATAACCACATTTTGGACACTGATATTCATATTTTTAAAGAGCACAGAGCCTAAGAATTGGGCCCTGAATCTTAGAAAAGCATCTCTCTTAGAAATTTGGCCGAGAGAAAGAAAAAGCCACCAAGTTTCACGAGAGGAGAAGGAGGGAAATGTGTTCTTGTGAGGGATGTCCGTGAGGATAGAGCTTCCATCCAGAAGGAATAGTAAGTGCTAGAGGAGAACTTGAGGATGAAACCTGACAAGATACTATTGGATTTTTAAAAGGAAGACCTTGCAGTTTCTTGAGAGGTGAAGGTTAAGTCAGATGACCAGAGGATGAGAAGAGGCCGCAAGACGAGAAGCAGAGGGATTCTAGGGCATGTTGGAGGGATTTCCTCAGCAAGGATAAGAGAAGCTCCTCTGAGACTGTGCAACAGGATAATCCAAGAGACGGAGGAACACTTGATTAATAATTTTGAGATAGGTTTGTATCTTACACGTCTTTTTAAAAAAAGCATCAATTTGCAAAGGACTGGGGAGAAAGAAAAGAAAAAAAAGCCATCGGTCCTTCATAGTTTGAGAAGCACTATTTTAAAGAGCATCAGTCACTTTGCCAGCTCAGCATCCCTCCCCCCTGGGGCCTCTCCCTCTGCTCCAGCTCCCAGTGTGAAACGATCCATCAAGGGATCCCCTCCTACTTTCTGCAAAAGCAGGGCACCTGACCCAAGGGAGGCCTCTTGGATTGCTCTTCTCTTGGGATCCCCAACCAGAGGAATGTGTCCTAAGGAAGGCAGTGGTAGAAGCCAATTTTTCATGAGACCCATTCACTTTATGCATGGGGAGACCGAGGCTAGTGAGTCAGTGAGCAGAGGTCACTTGACTGCAGGCTATCTTTCCCACTAACCGCTCTGCTCTAGATTCTGGCATCTCTTTGGGAAATGGTATCTGTATGATGGGAACTTCACGAGAAGATTCAGTAGTGTAGTAACACGCTCAATCCGACTAGAGGAAGTGATGGGCAAGTCATCAAACAAGGAAAACCAACCTTGCTGCCAAAAATGAAATCCATAAGAGTCTAAAATAAAGAAAGTATAATCAAGGAATATGGAGGCCTCTTTAATACTGCTTTCTGTCTCTCCTCTGAAAACAGACATTCTCCTCAGAAAACAGACATTTTTCTGCTGTACGGGACATACCAGTGAGCCTGGAATTCATATTTCACCATAGATTCTTCATCGAATCTAATGGGCCAACGCGCAAGTACTCTGTGAATTCCACTGAAGCATGTGCCAGTCTTCTCATAGTAACTTACTAAGTGTCTTGCACACAGTAGTTTCTCAGCAAGCCTTTGTTATATGGGTTTTATCATTAAAACTAATAAATATCCAGAACACACTTGCCTAATTTACAATTAGGGGTTCCAACAAACCTACATATTGAGCTTCACATCATTTAAAGTAAGTAAATATATATCTCTCAACAATAAAATTAAGTTACATGATTAATAACCAAAAGAAACAAACACCATTCAATCATTAAGGTATCTGCTAATAAAAAGACCTTCTGTGCTAAATGAACCAGAGAACAATAAATAAGTATTGAACATGCTGAAGTTTATCTAAGTTTCTCTAGTATTAGATTGAGCAAAGTATTCATTTTGAAAACCATCGAGGGAACTGGCTTTAATCCTGGCTTCACATTCACTCTATTGCAAATTAATTGTATATGACATTCATTAAGGAATAAGCTTCAAATCTCTGAGTATAAATGATAGGCTCTTCTGAATGCTAGCAAACATGGCTTAAAAGGTTTCAAAATCAAAATATGATTGGTGATTCCAGAGATTGTCACTGTAATTATGCAGTTAGCTAAATAATTTGGAAAACAAAGAAAGAGACAGAAAAATAATTATGGAAGACTAGGTGTCAGGCTCTTTTAATAGGTCAACAAAACATTACCTTGATTTAGGATGTACATAGAGAATGGTAGGCTATTTTGATAGTATCTTTAAAGTAGTATCCATGGCTAATTCATTTCAATGTATGAAAAACTACTGTAATGATGTAAAGTAATTAGCCTCCAACTAATAAAAATAAATGGAAAAAAAAATAAAGTAGTAGTTTCTATCAGCTTATCAGGTGTTTCTGGAACACAGACTTTGAGAAGGCCACTCAACGAGGTAGCAGTTTTGGAGGCTTAATATGATAAATAAAGCTGTTCCATTTCCTTAAAATTTTTTCAAAAATCAAATTTCCCTATTTTCTAATTACTTTGAATGTGTATATTCTCCTATGCCTAAGAAGATGCAAAGCATTTTAATGGATGTTTTGCAGTCTAAGTGGATGATAAATGAATCTGTGGCCCTCTAATTTGGACAGCATTATACCTCCTCACGGGCTTCCCTGGTGGCGCAGACAGAAAAGAGTCTGCTTGCAGTGTGGGAGACCCAGGTTTGATCCCTGGGTTGGGAAGATCCTTTGGAGAAGGAAATGGCAACCCATTCCAGTATCCTTGCCTGGAAAATTCCATGGACTGAGGAGCCTGGCAAGCAAAGAGTTGGACACAACTCAACTTAACTAACTTATAACTTAACTAACTTTCTTACACCTGCTCACAGTTTTGAAACAGATAAGCTTAACTAATTAACTCCTAGTATTTGGATGAAATTAAACCCTAAACTCTCAGAGAAGACCTAGAATATTTCCCCAC